AGTGCATCGTGTACATTTAATATTATACTTTTCTCTCTTAGACTGAAGGCACCTTTAAAACTACACTTAACCGGGATAAAACCTGTTGTCGACGTCATTTTTAAATGCAAATAACAAAATATCGACACCAAAAACGTAGGTAGGTATGACATGAACAATGTACATCTACAAACTAAATGGAAGATGCAAACAATTTCTAATTTATATTATTGGCATAAGCTGTAATGTGGCATAAAAACTACTTAAACTATTATTAGTGAAGCCTTATCAGTAATTTCAGGTAATCGTTCAAAGAAGGTATTCTTTTTGTGTATGGCGATAATTTGTATAGAAAACAATAATCACCTTGAAATTACTGTTTATATTAATTTATTTCGTGAAACATTGAATTCTCTCGTTAATCAACCGTGTATAATTAACAATAGGTAATCGTGTGGCATATATACCGACGTTTTTTACGCACAAAAAAGGTATAGTGAGATTAGTGGACATTTATTTTACAGAAGATTTTTTAAAAGATAATGAATTGTTGACGGCATCTTAAAATATTAATTTTCTTTATTTATTTCAAAACAAGTATAGGGTGACGCCTATGGTTTTTTGACCTGTTGAGGATTTGCATACATAATGTGCTATCAATATGATGGAAAAGGACTATAACTCCTTAAAATTACCCCTGTTACTCGAGTCACTTTTCTCATCATGTCCCCTAAAAGACAACTCTTGTTTGCTGAGGTACAAAACTGCGTTAATAACTGTCAGCAAACAAATCCTGTTTAGTCGAGCATTTTCATTAAAATTTAGTTTATGTAATCTAGCGTTTTCTTTTAAGGCATCGGCAATCGTATTTTGATTTTGTTCGAAATTTCTAAACATTAATTGGTTTTTTAAATACTATCCAGAATTTGCGTGCTTATGCAACGATCTATTAATATTCAAAAAATCAAAACCGTCTCTATTCCACACAGATTGTTTATTTGAAAAGAGGAGACACGGCCAACAATACAATTTTTCTAACGCTGTGCTACTACCATCGAGCAAAAAGATAAAAGAGGGAATGTAAAGGTAGTGGGGACAAAAATATTGTTAGACAGGAAGTGCTATCTTGAGAGGCCACTTTAAACAAGGAAAGACAGTCTCTTTCCTTGTTTAAGAAGTCAAATTTAGTTTGGTTATGTTATTGTTTGTCCCAACTGTCACATGAAATTTTATTTATATTGAAGTTTTTTACCAATTATGTCACTTTTTAGACTATTATCGTTGATATTTAATTAAAACTTTCTTGTCTGAAAAATATTTTACAGGTATTGTTAACAAGTGTTGGAAAATTTAAATTTAGCGCCTTTGCATTTCCGGATTTCCTAAAATCTCAGAAAGACGGAAAAGCCACCGGTCCAGACAATATCAATGTCGAAATACTAAAACTAATTGCAGATAACGAAAGTAAAAGCCTAGACTTAATAACAACACTATTCAATAAGATATATGACAAAGGTAAAATACCAACAGACTGGCTAAAATCAACATTCGTAGCATTACCAAAAAGATCGAATTCCTCACAATGCGATGATTATCGAATATTAAGCTTGATGTCTCATGTCCTTAAAGCTTTTCTCAGAATTATACATACACGAATTTACAAGAAGTGCGAGTTTCAGATGAGTGACACTCAATTCGGATTTCGAAACGGATTGGGAACACGAGAGGCTCTGTTTGCTTTAAATGTGTTAACGCAACGATGCAGAGACATGAATGTAGATGTATATGCATGCTTTATTGACTATCGAAAAGCATTTGACTGTGTTAACCATCAAAAGATGATTGAAATTCTGAGAACAACTGGAGTTGACGAACAAGACTTGCGAATTATCTCAGAACTATACTGGCACCAAACGGCAACCATTGAAATAGAGCACACAACATCTGAAGATATACAAATCCGACGAGGAGTGAGACAGGGTTGCGTCTTATCACCCCTTCTGTTTAATTTATATTCGGAGTCCATATTCAGAGAAGCATTAGATCAGGTCCAAGGCGGAGTTAAGATTAACGGAATCAGCATAAACAACATCAGATATGCTGATGATACTGTTTTAATAGCAAGCAACGCACAAGAACTACAAAATATAATAAATGCGGTAGTTCACCACAGCGAAATGTTCGGCTTACATCTAAATGTTTCCAAAACGAAAACTTTAGTATTTTCAAAGACACCAATAAACATACATGTGTATGCCAAGGGTCAAATGATAGAACAGGTAAATTCTATAAAATATTTGGGAGCAAATATCAATAGTCAGTGTAACCCAAAAAAAGAAATACTATCAAGAATCGAACAAGCAAGAAGAACATTCATGAGCATGAAAACATTTTTTACAAGATCAGACCTTAGTCTGCAGCTTAGAATCCGAATGATTAGATGCTACGTTTTTTCTGTCTTACTATATGGCTGTGAAAGTTGGACAATGGACTCCGAAATAGAAAAAAGAATAGATGCCTTTGAGATGTATGTATACAGACGAATATTGAGAATTCCATGGGTACAAAGAGTTACTAATGTTGAGGTACTTCGTCGAATGAGTAAACAAAAAGAATTACTAAGAATAATCAAAGAGAGGAAAATGCAATACTTGGGTCATGTGTTGAGAGGCGAAAAATATAAATTACTTCAAGTTATACTGGAAGGAAAAGTACAAGGCAAAAGATCAGTAGGAAGACGTCAGAACTCATGGCTGAAAGACCTAAGGAGATGGTTCGACCGCTCATCCGCAGAAATCTTTCGCGCAGCAGTTTCCAAAACTACAATTGCCATTTGGATCGCCAACCTTCGAAAGGAGACGGCGCCATAAGAAGAAGAATTTCCGGATATGTCCGCCATCAGAGGCCACTTTGTTGGTCTCCTTCACGGGTCTCCTTTTCATAACGATTAGATTCCCTCTTTTATCTTTTTGCTCGATGGCTACTACACAACCAATTGAATTCTGTGAACCAGAAAATTTGATGGGTTTAGTATACACTTCCACTATTTAGAATAATTCTTCTTTTTGTCAAAGAAAGAAGTCTGCAATAGTAGTATACTTGAGCTATTAATATTGAGAAGTAGGAATTGTTGTGTGTTATATGCCCTAGCTAAGCGAATAGACAATACAACTCTCGTTATGTAATATACTATTATATCGTTAGGTTGCGCCAAATGTAGGCAACCAACTTTTTGTAATATTTTCCAGTTAATTTTATTATTTTTTTAAAAGTGATGATAATGCTGAATAAGCAATATTTTAAATGATATCTATTCACAGGACGTACTTAATATTGTGTTATAAAGTAGGTTAGATAAAAAATATCATAATATTCATATTATAATTCAAAAATATCATTCATCAAAAATATAATCCAATATCATAAAAAATATAATTAAAACAAATCATAATCTTCTATTATTCCTATTAGAAACTAGTTTTGGACGTCCCGTGATTTTACCTTTTTTATCTAACGTACTTTATTATGAGGATTTTACAATAACACAATATTAAGTATGTTTTGTGATTAAATATCATTTGAAATTGCTTATTCAGCATTCTTATCATCACTTTTAAAAAATAATAAATTAACTTTAAAATAATAAACGTTTATTAAAAATATTCTCAAGAAACTCCAGCCAAATCCTAACAAAAAGTTTAAGTTGGTTGCCTACATTTGGAGCAACTTAACGATATAAACTAAATTGTAACTTTTATTTAATTTTTAAAAAAATCCACAAGGAAAAATTCCTGTAGCTGGCTGTATACCACGTATAACAAAAAGAGGTTAATTTTTGTAAATGTGTATATTTATTTAAAAAACCCTTAAAAGGGCCACATCAATAAAACAAACGTTTTCGGACCACACAGTCCATCATCAGGTTTTTAAAATTATTTTTAATTTTTTTTTTTATTTATTTTATTTATTTAATTTTTGACGCCATGTCAAACTGAACTGGATGTTAACTGAAATGTTTTTGTTATTAAGAACATATTTACATAATTTTATAGATATATTTTAATGATCCACCTAAACTATATTATATTTATATATACTTTAAATATACAGGGAAAATTTTATGGGTTTAGTATACACTTCCACTATTTGGAATAATTCTTCTTTTTTTAAAGGAAGAAGTCTGCAATAGTAGGATACTTGAGCTATTAATACTGAGAAGTAGGAATTTTTGTGTTGTAGCTTTCCGACAATGAATCTGTCAAAATATGCCCGAGATAAGCGAATGGAGAATATCTCTGGTTGCGTACAATTGTCTAATATATTTAATTAACATTATTATTTTGTGGAATATTAGACTTAGAGTTATTTCATAAAATTTATATTATTAATAATAAATGTTTTTGGTTATTTAATTAATATAATTCTATAATTTCCAATATAATGATGATTACATTTTTCTCATTATTACACCATGTTGACGCCTACGAAAGATCGAGCAGTTCTGTATGCGTTTCGTATTATTAGCTGTGTTAGGAAAATTTGAACTGTAAGGTTGATGTTCTGGAAATTTTAAATACAAGTGACGTCACTTTCTATAAATCGTGACGTGCAAGTGTTTTACTTTGAAAAATGGTATACCTTACATATGTAATGATTTTGCCGATTCACTCCCGTGCAAATTTATAACGTCGAACCCACGTATAGAAGTGGGTTTACCCAAAATATGAAAACAAAATGATATGTTGGGCAATGATTGAATGATTATTTCAGGGCATTGAACTTGAACATCCTGATTCTAGACGTGGTAGACGTTCTATATATACTCTGTACTAGATAAAGAAAAAGATCTCTCTCTTTCCTTGTCTAAGGTATTATCACTTCCAATCCCGCCGCTGAGGACTTCTGAATGTCTGAACGCACCATCCAGTTAGAATCTAACTCGATGGAACACACCCAATTTGGACAATTGACAAGAAAATTGACGTTCGACATATCGACACCTGTATTTTATTTTCCCGCCAATTTTATACTGTGGGCTTTGGCGTATTTTACCTATTAATAAATTTTATATTCAATAGGATAAAATGGAAGGTTTCGATGATGTAGGAACCTATTATAGTTCCAATTTTGCCGAGGATGATACTCCAAATGATCAGATTAATTTACAGGCGGTTAAAAAGAAGTTTAAAGATTTTATCCGGCAATATCATACAGACAACTTCAACTACAAATATCGGTAAGTTCGTTAAGACTAGCGAAATAGTGGAATAGGATAACGCAAATTAATAAATTTCATCTTTATAGACATGGTACAGTCTCAATACATTGTTAACTTTTTAATTTTCCAAATTGGTATTTAAACAAGATCTTTTAATTGCTTATTTAATGTTAATGGGACAATAAGATGGGTGTAATACATTTTGTATAGTAATCCAATTTGCTATCCTTAACCACTTTGTGCCCTATTTCGTGCTCATTAGTTTTTGATATATTTGATGAATGTATTTTCATCTATCTAATTTCATGGACACTTGTTAACATTGTTGGTTTCTTCTGATGATATTGATAATCATCACACAATATGGATATAAATTATTTATTAAAGAGTGTAAGCTTTTGCTGTTATGTTTTATAATGGTACATTGTTTTCAGGATTTATTTGTGTGATTTATAGATTTTTACTTATTTGTTAACATGTTGTTTGACATTTATTCATGAAGTTGAGGAGATATCCATATTGCTTTTATTTATCCTGTGTCAATTAACAGCTTTCTATGAAGATATGTTAAGTATCCCGCCTTTTTGTTTTTTGCTAATATTACACATTTCAGAATAAACTATAATACAGCTACCATGGTTGGACATTGACATGTAAAAGAGATCACTTAAAAGATACTTTTTAGTTGTTTTTTAAATAAATTAATTTTGGAATCAAAAATATTTGTTTGTCTTGGCAGGCTATTAGCACTTTAGACTAATCATGTAGTTGGTTCACTGATACCATAATTAATGTGGTGAAATGGCACTGAAAAGATTCCTGATGGTCTGTTGTTTCTAATAGGTACTTTAGGACTAACTAGTGATAACAATTACAGATAGCCTCTATCAGCATTAATGACTTTGTGCAGGAAACATAAATCTAACAATGTTCTCCTCGACTCATTGGTAAATTAAGATAGTCTCTTACCCACTGATCGTAATGATCATAATGTGATCTCTCCAGAATTAACTCCTAAAAGCTGCTATCCTCAGGAATTTATTTTGGACCTTTTCAATATGTTCAATGTAATAGTTGTATGATGGGGACCGTACAACTAATTCATACTATAGAATAGGCCTAAGGAGACCACAATAAAGTCTTTTAAATGAGAGCAAAGTTAGGTTTATAGATGTTCGTTGGATAAATACCAGTACTTATATCGTCCTGTTTGTTACTTGATTGATGTGGCTTGAAAATGACAGATTTTTATCTAACCAGATTTCCAAATCTGATACTTCATTTTTAGAGGCAGTGGCAAGTTATTTATAGTGTAAACAATAATTGTATTTGGTTTTCTTTGCATAGAAAATGTTATTTTATATTTGTTTATGTTAAGTGACATTTTGTTTAAACTGCACCAATCATAAAATGATTTGATGTTTTCTTTATTAAATCAATAAGAGACAACCAAAATAAAACAGGTCCACAATGCCCTGTGGCACCTCTGATGGTATCATTATTTCAATTGAGGTATCACTCCCCAAGTTACCTGTGTGCATATGGTTGACCTGATCAAATGGTTTGGAAAAGTCAGTACAGATCAAGTCAACCTGGAATCCCTCTTCAAAGCTGATATAATATAATTGACATATAAAAGTAGATTGGCATATGATGACCTCCCTCTCATAAAACCAAATTGTTCAGTAATAAAAATGCTTCTAAAACCCCATGGCAATTTCTTCCTAACCAAACAATCAAGCAGCTTGGGCAGTTCTGACTGATTACAGACAGCTCAATAGTTTGATATGTTGTACCTTGTACCTGCTTTAAAAATAGGCTTTAATAAGCTTTTCTTCCAGATTGGGAAAAGCTATTAGTACCAAGTGCTCTGTTAAAAAAATTATTTCTTTGTATTGTTCTTTCATCTATTAGTCTTTAGCTTCTCTATCTTTTTTTAGTTCTTTATAAATTTGTCTTATCTTCTATCTTTACTATACTTTAATTATCCATGTTTTTTCTTCTCTTCTTATTTGGCAGAGATATTATTGGTTTAATCTTTTTTTACTGATATCCTGTAGTTTGTTAATTTCTGCTCTTATCTCGTTGCTTGTTTCTAATAAAAATATTTTTTTGAGAAACATTTATATAATTTTTGTTTGGTATCATCTCATTGTTGTTTTAGACCAAATTTCATAGATTTTATTTTGTGGATTTTCTTGAGTTTAATATAAATCAAAGAATGTAGTGTAGTCATCCCTATGTATATAACCTCCTTTGTACTAATTTACAAACAGATATCTGGTAATAAAAAATGTAATATCTCTCATAAAAATAGGAAGACTAAGATGAACAGGCTAAAACTTGGAAGGATGATGTAAATGATGATGCCAGAAACTGGTTAACCACCTGACTTAAAATTGGCCATTACTTACTGCTCTTGCTGTTAAATTATTTTCTCTGAAACTATCAATTCTACACAGGTTATACTAAAAACAATTGGCTTATTTATTATACATATTTCGTTGTTATATAAGTTGTTGGAACTTTGATAAATCTGCTCTACATAAGCTTTTCATAAACACTCTTTTTTATTATAGGAAGGGGGTGGTTTCGATTATGAGGATCTCAGTTTTTATTTGTTTTTCCATTTTCATTTGAAGTGCCTTTGACATCTTGGACCATTCTCGCAGTCTTAATTTCAACATTGGTTTTCACATTCTCCTTTGTCACATTGAGAAGTGCCTTCAATTTCTTTATGATCTCTTTCCCTGCCTTTCTTAATGCACCTAGTTCTTCAGTTTCTCTCCTTTCTATGGCCTTAGCCTCCCCTGAGTCATCCATATTCTCTCTCTTTTCCTCCTCAATCCTGCCTTTTGCTGATTCTCCAATTCTCTCCCTCACTATTAGCCCTCGTAGGTCTACCTATGGAGTCTCTCCTTCCCAAGATCTCAAATTGCCCTACTTCTTCAAGCTGTTTCCACTTTGTGTCCTTGTGCAGGTCATCATCATTTTCATTTTTTGTTTTATTAAAATTAGCGGGTTGCTTTCCATAATGTTCCCACATGTCAGAAATAGCAAAGGTCCAGCTGGATAGTGCTTTCTTATCCAGCTAAGGCATTTATCACCTCAGAAGGTTTCCAGGTATCCAGGGCATCATTTGCGACTGCTTTCCATGCAGCAATTCATCCCCTGGTCCTTATTGTTTATGAGCTGATATTGTGCATTTTTTTATAGAGGTGTGTGTACTCTTCTTGATTTGCCATGGTTTTCTCGGGTAGCAGTGACAGCAATGCTTGTATACATTTGGTGTTCCTCAGTGTAGGTGCTTACCCTACCTACACTTTGGGGGGATGGAATGGATAAGGAGTGGGTGATGCTTTCTAATATAAATTTGAAAACCAGTTTTTTGTGAAATGTGCCCAATTATACCAAGTGTTAAATAAGTCAAAGAGTAAGTAAATAAGTCATAATTCAAAGAGTGTCCAGTTTTAAATATCTGTCAATTTGCTATATTACTGAACAACTAGATCCAGATCAAGAGATAAAATGTAGAATCGAGATAGCCCGCACGACATTTTTAAAAATGAGGTCATTCTTCTGTAATTATAACTTGCAACTTCAACTTCGAAAGCGCATGGTTAAATGCTACATTTGGTCAGTCCTCTTATACGGTGTCGAAGCATGGACATTAAAAATATCCACGATTAATCGTCTGGAGGCCTTCGAGATGTGGCTGCACAGACATATACTAAAAATTTCATGGACAGCTATGCTGACATATGTGGCAGTCCTTGAAAGAGCAAATGCTGCTCGCGAGCTGTTTGATAACATCAAATGTAGAAAGATGGCCTATTTTGGACACGTAATAAGGGGAGACCGATATAATATTCTTCAACTTATTATGATGGGTAAAAGAAGGACGCAGAGGAATTGGTGGAAAGCAGGCCTCTTGGTTGAAGAATATCAGGGAGTGGACAGGAATAAAGAAAGCTGAGCAACTATTTAGAATACCCTCGAGACAGAGACAGTTTCGCTGTGTTAATCGCCAACATCAAGGGGACTTGATAGGGCACGTTAAGAAGTTAAATAAGTAAACTAGAAAGAGGCCTAAGTTCCGCACAAAGTTGTTCAAGTATTTTTTTTTTCATTTTTTCAAATAAAGGGTGGGGGAGAGTGGGAAAGTATTTGTGCATAAATACCTATAACTTTGGTTTAGATTAACCGATTTTAACGAAATTAGTATCATTAGAAAGAGTGTGGATGAATTAATTTACATCTACTATAAAATAATTGCATTTAGTTTTAATTGTCATGGGTAGAGGGTACTTTCGAATATAAAAAATTAAAATCTATTTTTCTTCAAAATGTTTAATGGAAACACCTATTTATTGTAAATTATAATGGAACTAGATTAAATTTATATCTTTATGGAAAGATATGGATATCTTTTGTCGAAGTCGAGATATGAATAAAAACGCATAAACATAAGTAAGTATAGTATTGACTCACCCTTTATTATAACTTAAAAGTAAATATGTGAAAATTCATACAAATATCTCGATCATTAAAACTTAATGTCCAATGAAATGTTCAAATTGTTTTCCATCGTTGTCCACACAAAGATGTAACCTTTCGCGCGTAGACATAACAGCTGCTTCAATCTCAGCTGTTGATATACTATTTATTTCGTTTATAATGCACTTTCATGTCGTCTTGCATAGTTGGTCGAGTTTGGTACACTAAGTCCTTCAATTTTCCCCACAGATGCAAGTCCAGACATGTTAAGTCTGGAGATCTAGCTGGCCATGAAAATATACTTCTCTTTTCAATCCATTTATTTGGATAACTTGCATACAAATAATATCTAATTCGTCTGGAAAAGTGCGCAGGACACCGTCATGTTGTAATATCATATCTCTTCTTGTTTGTAAGGAAATATCTTCCAATAAAACAGGCAACTGATTTTCCAGAAAATCCAAATATGTTTCGCTATTTAAAGTTCTATCAAAGAAATATGGACCTACGATCTTTCCATC